GGGTTATGGATTCCTGACCGGCTCTTACAGCTACAGCCAGATGCCAGAGGAGACAGACTCGGCAAATCTCCACAACTTTTGTCTCCTGTGAAACCGAGTCTAGAGATAAGTAAATACAGAGAATGTGCCAGCTGCCTGACCAACCTGCAGGCACTGACCAACCTGCTTGACAAGAATAGAACAGAGGGATATCCTTTTTCTCTCATGCATCTCCCCAGGGAGAATTTTCTGCTTTGAAATAAAGACTCATTCTAATAAGAAAGTAAAAAAAAAAAAAAAATCAATATTAATATTGTATTGACAAGAGAGAACACACTACATAACAAAATAAATAAATAAAAAGGGAAAAAAAAGAAAAATTCCTGGCCCATGGAGCAAAGGTTTACCAGATACTAACAGCAAAGTCTTTGTTTTAATTACTTTTCTGTTGTCAGACAAAACACCAGACCAAAGCCACTTCTTTTTTAAGAAGTTTAATTCAGGGCTCACAGTGGCAGAAGTTAACATGTACGACCAACAGGCAGCAAGGTGGGGAGCTTAGCCGGAGGCAGACAGGCATGGCACTGGAGCAGGAGAGAGCTTGCTTCCTTACCCACAAGTACAAGGAGAGAGCTGTCAGCTTTCAGCCTGCCATGGAATCCCAAAGCAGAGGTTCTACCAGCAGAAGAAAAACGAATCAGGAACCCGACAGATAAAATTGCCAGTGAGGACAAGCAGGCAAAAAGCAAAGCTTCCTTCTTCCATGTGCTTCTTTGTGGGCTGCCACCATGCGTGGGCGGGTGTGCCCAGCTGTTTCTGGGGTTTGACTCTAGGTGAAGTCAACTTGACAATCAAGATTGAGTCATCACAGCCCCACGTTGAATGCTACGTGGATTATAAAACTTGTTCAAAGACTTCCTAAGCATTTGCAGACTACTGACTCTCCATCAGGTGCTCTGATCCACACTGGGGAGAGCAGAGTAAGAAAAGTTCCTCCCTAGAGAAGAGAGATGTGGGAGTGAAAAACAAGCATGGCTCCACCCCCAAAACCATCTGCAAAGATGGACGCTCTCACAGACTTTTTTTTTCTTTTTTTTCTTTTGAAATGCCAGTTCTACTCATTTCCTGGGTTGGCTGTGTCAGCTACCACAAATGATGACTTAAAACCAAAAGTCCTTCCCAGTAGAAGCTAGAAGTCTAGAATCAACATATCCACAGAGGCCAGAGGCACACTTCTTGCCATTCCCGGGTTCTGGGGGGTCCTGGAAATCCTGGCTGTTCCACAGCTGGTAGATAATGTCACTCTTCTGTCTGCCTCTCTTGGGCTGCTTAGGCTGCTATAGCAAATGGTGGAGACTAGGTCGCTTATTGACAGAAGACGTTTGTTGCTCACACTTCTGGAGACTGGAGATCCAATCTCGGATTCGTAGTTGCTGGTCCCCAAGGGCCAGGAAGCCTGAGTTCTGAGCACTGAGCTGAAGATTATGTTCAAGCAGCTTCCCGTAGCTTGACTTAGAACCTACGTTAACTGTGGGACTCCCTTGACACACTATGCGCACTACAGAGGATTTTCTGGAGATACAAGTGTTTTTAACATTTCAGGCATTAACAGGTGGCTTGTTCATAGACCTTGTGGATTCCTGACCAGCTCCTGTGTTTCTCTTCCAGAATGGGAATGCCTCTCTTACCCCTTGCCCGCCGTCCGATTTGTAAAGCACAAAACACCTTTGGCTTCACAAATTTGTAGCTACAAAGGACTTTTGGCCCAACCGACTTACAAGGTCTCACCACTACCTTGGGTGTTGGAGTTAGGTTCTCTGGAGCTGTTGAGATGGAATAAATGTGGGTTCATGGATGTACAGTTACTTTTCTTTTACTGTGCTAGAATACCACGACCAAAATCAACTCATGGAAGTGTTTATTGTTTGGCTGGAAGCCCTGTTCTCCCCCGCACAACCTGGGAAACCCTGTCTGCCCTCCTTTCGGCCCTCCCCAACCCAGCCCCCACACAAAGGAATTGCACCAAGAGCCTAGTTTCGAATTCTTGGTAGCTATCATGATGCCGCCAGCCCCCCAAATCCCTGCCTAAGCGCTCAGTTCTTGACCAAACTTGGGCACAGACCCAGCTCCTGGCTGACACAACATCACCCCTCGCCTAAGGTCTATAAAACCTCCCTGCCTTTTACTGAAGAGAATTGTTTCAGCGATTCTGGGTTTCTTGTTATTCCATGTGAAGTTGAGAATTTTTCTTTCAAGGTCTGTAAAGGAATTGTGTTGGTAATTTGATGGGAATTGCATTGAATCTGCAGATTGCTTTTGGTAAAGTGGCCATTTTCACTATCCTGTGCTTTCTCAGACAACTAGGAATAACGCTACCTCAAGATCCAGCTATACCACTCCTAGGCATATATCCAAAAGATACTCAAGTAAACAACAAGGACATTTGCTCAACCATGTTCGTAGCAGTTTTATTTGTAATAGCCAGAACCTGGAAACAACCCAGATGTCCCTCAATTGAGGAATGTATACAGAAATTGTGGTACATTTACACAATGGAATATTACTCAGCAATTAAAAACAAGGAAATCCTAAAATTTGCAGGCAAATGGTGGGAACTAGAAAAGGTCATCCCAGAAGCAGAAAGACACACATGGTATATACTCACTTATAATTGGATATTAGACATTTATAATATAGGATAATCATTCTAAAATCTGTACACCTAAAGAAGCTAAGCAAGAAAGAGGACCCTGGGTAAGAGGATCAGTCCTCATTCAGAAAGGCAAACGGAAGAACATTGGAAGAGGGAGAAAACAGTGAACAGGACAGGAGCCTACCACAGAGGGCCTCTGAAAGACTCTACCTAGCAGGGTATCAAAGCAGAGGCTGGGACTCACAGCCAAACTTTGGGCAGAGTGCAGGGAATCTTATGAAAAAAAGGGGGAGATAGGATCTGGAGGGGACAGGAGCTCCACAAGGAGAGCAACAGAACCAAAGAATCTAGGCACAGAAGTCTTTTCTGAGACTGATACTCCAACCAAGGACTGTGCATCGGGATAACCTAGAACCCCTGCACAGATGTAGCCCATGGCAGTTCAGTGTCCAAGTGGGTTCCCTAGTAATGGGAGGGGCTGTCTCTGACATGAACTCAGTGGCTAGTTCTTTGATCACCTCCCCCTGAAGAGGGAACAGCTTTACCAGGCCACAGAGGAAGACAATGCAGCCAGTCCTGATGAGACCTGATAGGCTAGGGTCAGATGGAAGGGGAAGAGGACCTCCCCTATCAGGGGACTGGGGGAGGGACATGGGTGGGAAAAAGGGAGGAAGGGTGTGACTGGGAGGGGTTGAGGAAGGGGGCTACATTTGGGATACAAAGTGAAAAAACTGTAATTAATTTAAAAAATAATTTTAAAAAAACTCTCAAAACAACAACAACAACAAAAAACCTCCTGCTTTAGTCTGGGCACATAACTTCCCTTGCCCCACACTCCCTCTGTTCCTTGGGATGGGTGAACTCACCCGGGACAGCACCTAATAAACAGGCATCTATCTGCTTTTAATCTGGTCTGATCTGGCCTATATCTGCATCACCGAGAGAGAAAAAGTCTATTATTTATTTTGGCTTAATATTCCGGAGAGGGAGTCCGTGCTACCGATTAGGCATGGCAGCAGCCGTGCAAGCGTGGGTCAAGACTGGAAACTGAAAGATGCCTTCACGCCAAAACAGGAAGCAGAGAGCGCAAACTAGAAGTGAAGGAGGCTGTGAACTCTCAACACCCACCCCCAGGGACATACTTCTTCCTTCAGCTGAGGACATTTCTCACAATCGCCATGGTTTTATTATTGTTGTTATTATTATTGTATCTTTACATGTGCTCAGACATGTGTGTATTTGCAAGTACACATGCACAAACCCATATGCATACATGTACCTTGTGGGTCCTGGTGCTTTAAGACTTACTATAAATCTAACAACTTTATGTCTTTTATTTGGAAAGTGACTGGTTTATGAATAACCGCTACCATAATAATTTCCTGTATAATTAATATATACAAAATAGTCAATTCATTTACACACACGTGCATGTACCACCGAGGGATCAAACTCTGTCATCAGGCTTGGTAGCAGGTGTTTTTACCGATGAACCATCTCCCCCAGACCCAGAATAAACATTTGGCTCTTGACATGAATTTCTGAGGTCCAGGGGTGAAATATTTTTACTCTTAACAATTTGTTAATTTTTTACTCTTAACAATATGTGAAAACTCTAATCCCAATGTTGTGCTAAGATTTGGTTCTAAAATATGCCCCGAAATTCATATGTGGAAGGCCTGGTCCCCAGCTGAGAGTGCTACGGACAGATCATACATTGTGCATTGTCATCAGAGCTCAGTTCATTGATGACCTCCTAACAGCATCGTCTATTAGAAAAGAGGACCTTAGTGGAGTCAACGCCGGAGTGACTTTGAAGAGGGAAGAGCAATGCTTGTCCCCACACCTTTCTCCTGTCTCCTTTCGCTTCCCAGCTGCCATGAGGTGGCCATCTTAGTTCTGCCATCCCCTCCTCACCACGATGGTACCTTGGCACAGCCCCAGGTATGGGGTCAATTAGCCATGGACTGAAGTTTTGAGCCGCTATATGTCTTCCATTCTTTCTAGTTTGCTCGGGTACTTTGCCACAGCAAGAGGAGCCTAACATAGATGGTATTTGGAGATGGGGCTGTGGGGGGGGGGGATGACTGAGACAAGAAGAGGGGCCCTCATGGAGGAATTGGTGCTCTTCCAAGATACAGGGGACCTTCTTGCTTTCTCACAGGAAGAGGACCCTTATCGTGGCCCAACCATGTCTGCATCTGCGAGAGATGGGCTATTGTAAGCATTCTACCAGATTGATCACGTCCTCTGAGGCACAAATGTTGTTCAGACTGATGTTGTCCCGTTTGTCAAGTTTTGGATTTGTTGCCTGTGTTTTGGTGTCGGAAATATACTAAGGAAACAAATTATCTAAACTATTGGGATGTAGACGGCAAAGAAAAATAAAGACACAACAGCTTTGTCTTATGCTTCTCTACCGATACAGTTAAAATAATCATAATCACTCTGAGGCTAAATTCCAGGGAGTCGTAGGCCTGGACACAAATCACCATGGCTTTTCTTTGTCTTTATTATCATGCTGTTAAAATAATAGCATCTGAGGAATAAGACTATGAATGTTCAGAAGGCAGATAATAATAATGGTTCAGCTCACAATTTAATTTTTCTGTGTGGTTTTACTTTATTATGGTACAAAAAAAAAAAAATATAGTCCAAATAAACTGTATAAATTTACGGTACAAAAAAAATATAGTCAGTATAAATGGAGACATGGGACCTTTTCCAGGCTAGTAGTAATCCACAGTGCAATGCTCTCTAACAATGCTGAGCAGCAACAATGAGCCCCAGGCCGTCAGTCAACGCAACCACCAGGGTAAGCAGCCATTTCAGAGCTGTGGACAGTGTAGCAAAGCCAGGATGGTCTGCAAATCACATGGATTAAAGGCATTTCTGACTCACATTGTTTTCAACATAACAGTGCTCACCTGGATGCCACACCATTGTAAAACCAGAACCACCTACAAGAGCAGTTGCACAGATTTCACCCAAGATGCCTCCCAATTCTAACAGAACCACCGCGTTTCCAAGCGATCTTGGCTAACGCTCTTCTGCTACGTGAAGAGACTACAAACCCCGCGAGCTTAGTAACAGCATAATAATCATGTAGACCTATGCAGGGAAATGCTTCTTTTCCTAATAATTTGGGGTTGCAGGGAATGTGGGGATTTCTTCAAAGTTTAGCAAGTTCATTCTTCAAAGCTTGGTTTAGATATCACTATTTTGTTCAATGTCAGCCCCACTTTACCCTTGTCAGCCGGGTAACTTTCGCTAAGCATTGTAATTTCCCTCAATCCTATCTTCTTCTCCTGTAACATGAAGACTATGGTGCACACAATAAAAGATGGAGGGAATGAGAAGCAGGCAGTCTCTTCTCAGTCAGGGGGAAAGTGACCGAGATCACTGCGGCTGCACATTTCGCTCTGCACATCTCATGAGCTGTGTCTTAAATAGGTGTGTGTCGGAAGAAGGTCCTATAATGTCAATATGTGTGCTGTGAACATTAGCCAAAACTTTGGGATATCTGAAACACAGTTGTTCCAAAGCCTGCTTAATATTTCTTTTCTCTCTATCACCCCTTCCTTCCAAAACCAGTATCTCTTTTCTGAGCTCCAGATGGAGCTCCTGGGCCCACTCCTCAATGAGCATTTCCACACGTCTGACAACGCTACTGAGAGACCCACCATGGGCATCTTGTAGACAAAGGGTGGTGACATCACCATCCACCCTCTCCTGGCACAGGATATGGTATTTCTTCAGTGTAAGTTCATAAAACTTACACTTGTATTTCAGGTAACGGAAAACATCTGTGTCAAGCACAAGTGTCCTTTTGCTTGTGGTAGGCTCGGGTGCAGAGGCCCTGACGGTCACCGCAGAGTTCCTGCTTTTCTGCAGGAGTCTTCTAGGGCTCTGGCTCCTGCAGTTTCTCCTTTCACCAGCATAATTCCTGCCGTTTTCTAAAGGGGAAATGGCTTTTGATAGCAAAGCCTGCTTGAGTTCCATGAGATCCAGAAATGAACCTCGCACGGAGAGTTTCCCACTGGGTCCCAAGGCGCTGAAGCTTAAAGTTGGGATTTTCTTTTTCAGGTCCACGACTAGGCTTTCTAGTGCAGTCTGAGTCCGGAAAACAGACAGATCAAGAATAGCCGTCGCATAGTTGAAGACCTCAAATGAGAAAGAGAGAAGTGAAAACAGCCCTGCCTAGTGGAGCAAGCACCAGTGCACATTGCCTCCTGCCGCTCTTCGTTCTTCCCATCTGGGCAGCGCTTGCTCTAAGTGAGGCCTGGAGGGCCAAGCCTGGATTTCCCAGCTTCTTGCTTCAGGTCACCCCTTCAGACAGCCTGTGCTGTTTAGGTTGGATACACACCCCAGGAATGGAGTACAAAAGATATTTGGAGACAAAAATGCTGTTTTGAAACAAAGTGCTTTTCAGAATCCACCAATGTGCAAAAAGTCTTGGCACATGCTCCACGGACAAACACCATCCCCCCAGAATGGGGGCCTTCCCTACCTCTACCAGCTTAAATTTCAATAGATGGCTACCCCAGAAGCCTGGGTTCCCTGAAGAATATACGTGGAACCCAACGCTTTGGATTTTAATTTTTATTCTTACTCTCACCTTCCCTTCCCCTTCAAAATTCCTCTTTAATATCCACCCTCATTGTTCCCCAGGATAAAACCTTTAACCCTCCTATCAACCACGACAGCACAAAAGGTCACGGTCATTTTAAAGGTAGCATAGGACACACACACATTGAAATATAAAAACAACATTTCTAGAGGCTGCTTTTGCCTTTGAGGACTGAGAAGTTTTGACTTTCTTTCCTAAGAAGTCATGGGGCAATAGCACTTTGTTTTGTCCTTATATACAAAAGACTTCCCAAAAGAAATGTGGTCCAAGCCTCAAAACACACAGTAGGGCCCAGACTCACCTTTTCACTGAAGTGAGAGACTGTGAGCTGAGGCACTGAGGCTAGAGGACATTCCTTTTGTCTGATGACACTCTGAGCAACTATGGAAACATTAGCATCAAAAAGCATCAATAATTACCTGAATTTACAAAAATGGAGATGTTCAATTCTATTGTTTAGAAAGTAAGGGTTTTTGCTACATTTTTCCTCCTAAACCTGACATTCAAATAACCTTTCCTTTGTGCTTAACACACTAAATTTCACCATAAATGTCTTAATAGGATCCTAATCCTATTTCTAAGCACACAGAAGTACCCATTCTGGTCAGAGAAAGCGTACCTTCTCGAGATTCCACACTGCTAAAGTTTTCGTCCTAACTCACTGCTAATCCTCCATCTCCTGCCCTTCTCTCCACACTGCCAAACCCAGACCTCAGCCTTTCTGCTGACTATAACCACTGAGGCTGATCTCAACCTCTATCTCTATCTATCACTTCCAAACTTCCTCCTCTGCTTCATCGGCCTAACAGCTGTCACCTCAAGGTGATCTCCTGAAGAGACTGTCAACCATCTCCTGAGTACCTGCTCTGCCACAGCCTCGGCAACCCACAGATCCTATTCACACTGTGCCCTAGTTTCAGAACAGCAACTCCAATCCTCGGAGCTTTACTCAGAGACGCCCGGTGGCTCCCGCATCACAAGCCAGAACCCTCATCTGGACCACAGGCTGCTCGGCACACATGGGTCCCGCCTCCCACGCTACCCACACGCATCACTCTGCCCACACTCATTCCAGGCCTGCCTCCATGGCTCCCCTCCTATTGCTCCAAACACTCAGCAAGCTTCCCCTTCCCTCCTCAGGACACTCCCCACCCCAACCTAGCCACAGTTTTTCCCAGTCCTTCATTTATCCTAGAATGTTCTTCCCCTTTACCCACAGGAATCCCTCTCTGCTCCCTCCTCCTCCCTCCCCACCTCCTGCTTCATCCGGTCTCTGCTCACTTATTATGTAAACAGTATTTCAGATCTAAGAACATAGCTCGTTGGTATAGTAAATGTCCTACATGATGAAACGTTGGGTGTTCTCCTCAACATGCATAGTGGACATAAAACCTTAGATGTGATCCCAAACACACAGACCACACACACAACAGATGTGGTTGTGCAAGCTTGTAATCCCAACTGTCAGGGAACTGAAGCTGGAAGACCTCAGTTCGAGACCAGCCTGGGCACCTCTGGCAACATGATGAAATTCCATCTCATAAAGGAAATAAGAAAGGGGGCTGGAGAGATGGTGTGTCAGGAAAGAGCGCTTACTGCTCTTCTGGAGGACTTAAGTTTCATTCTCAGCACTTACACCCGGGGATCCACAATCTCCTGTGTGTAACTCCAGGAGATCCAGCTCCCTCTTCTGCCCTCCTCAAGCACCTTTACACACATGACATTCATACACACATACACACACACACACACACACACACACGCACCATAAAAGAAAAATTATTTTTTCAAATAAAATATTAAAAGAGCAAAAGAAACTTCCCTACCCAGTCTACCTAAAACAGCACCACCTATCAGTTTTATCTCTTTATTATTCTTTACACTTTTTCATAGCAGTTAGGTGTTAATGTACAAAATAAATGTAAGCATAAATATATAAATAAAGCCCAAACATACTCTACATCTGTTGGCCTAATAAAAGCCCTTCTCCGTTGATGAAAACAAAAGAGGCTGCCTATGCCATTCATGGTTGTGTTTTCCACACCTAGAGTAGTGTCTGGCAACCCTCAGCTATACCAACTTACACAGCCACTGTCAACCTCTTTAATGACATGAAGAGCCCTTGCTGCAATCCCGTACCGGAACAAGGCCACCGAGATGGAACGGCTTAGCTCTTGGAAACAGCCAAAGGTTACTGCAGGTCCAGCAGGTAGGACTTCTAGACCTTTCCTTCCCTCCAGACACGGCAAGGGCTTTCTTTATTCCTAACATACCTGCATGGAACTCACACCCCTGAGGGGGTGCCATGGAGAATGTTCTCTAGCAGTCTATTCCACTAGCGGCTAAGCCTAAAGCAGACTGTCCCTCCTCCACCATCTACAGCCATCTGTTTCAGGGGGAGGTGGAAGGCAGAATGGCTCAATCCTATTTGAGGTCCAGGCCACCTGTCCGCACATGTGCGCACGCACACACAAACACAAAATAAAAATAACAGAAATGAATTTTTTCAAATAGGATGTTTCAAAATAAAAAATACAGTAACAAAGCAGGTTCTTTATTATAATATCCACTTGACACTTTGAAGGGTGAGAAGCAGAGACTATAATTATATTGTTGTCGCCAACTGAAACTCCCCAAAGTACTTTTCTTATCTAAGAGATTATATATAATTTAAGTTTATTTTATACATGTTCTATATCCGTCTAGCAAGATATATATAATATATGCATATGCAGAATACTTTTTAAAGTTTTCAAAATTTCCCCATCACTCATACCTATCATTAGCTATTTTCACATATTTTCAAAGACTGGCCACCTTTCAGAATAATTTTTTTAATGCTACTTCAAATTTTGCCAATCCCATGAATCATTTTAACAATAAGAAATTTTAACTTCACCAAAAGCATTTCTAACATGATAAAATTTCTCTGATTAAGAAATACCTTTCTTTTCCTTGAATATGATATATGCGACTCCTTTGGATCTTGATGGATATATCACCTCTTCCACGTGTCCACTCTCATCCCGGAAGTAGCGCTTCACTAACTGGTCTTTTAAAAGACCGAGCGGAAGACCAGAGACCACTACTGTTCTCTCAGAAACCGTGGGGTCTTTGACCTTCAACGCTGACGCCTGCACAGAAACAGTTGGATGCTGTTTAACTATAAGTCTACTGAAAGGTGCCTTCACAGCAGTGAGAGACCATGCCTCGCTCCACCAGGGTGACCAGAGGGAGTATGTGTCCATCTACCCATACAGACCTTAGTCAAACGTCAGAGTCATGTGCACAATGATCCCTTTGTCTTTCCAAGAGGTAGACAGTATTAGTAAATATTCCATTTTAGGGAGGCCCAAAATAATGGAAAGTGTGTGTGTGAGAGAGAGAGAGAGAAAGAGAGAGAGAGAGACAGAGAAAGAAAGAAAGAAAAAGAAAGAAAGAAAGAAAGAAAGAAAGAAAGAAAGAAAGAGAAAAAGAAAAAGATTATGTTCGCTTTTTTTGATGGGGTCTTACTATGTAGTCTTAGCTGGTCTTGAGCTTGCTATTTAGACCTAGTTTACTTCAAACTCAGAAATCCTCCTGCCTCTGTCTTCCAAGTGCTAGGGTTAAAGATACGTGCAACTACACCCTGGGAGATGTAACTTTTTTTTTAACACTTAAAAAGTGACTATGGATATAGCTCAATGACAGAGTGGTTGAGTTACATGTGCAAAGAAATGCTTTAGCTCTTGGAAACATTTTGTAGTTATTTTATTAACCCACTTTGTAGCTATTTTAATAAACCCAGAAAGCCCTGGACTTTATTAAAGTCCTGGTTTTATTAAAATAGCTACAAAATGGCAAAGTATAAAAGAGGCTATATATTTTCTGGATTATAGAGTCTAAAGTATATAAGTCAATAAGAAAGGCATCCCTCTTGTCCCAGTCGAGGGGAAGTCTTGCAATCGTGTGCTGGCTGCACAGACTGCTCTCCACTTCCCGCCTGAGGGGACAGAGTCACAGAGAGGACATGTTTTTGCAGACGCTGCTGCCGTGTGGAGTACACAGCAGAAATCATTTCTTCTCTAACCCTCTTAAATCCGCTCCTACTAAACACCTTCATTTGTCTCCCACCCCGAGTTAGGAAAAGGAATCCATCAACCTCACCCAAGACACGTCGGATTAGTCCAAACTAACTGCAGTAAAGTTCAGACACAATCTATCTTAACTAGCAGAAGACAGTTAAGGACTACCGTCCTTAACTATGAGGGGACATCTCCTGAGCTGGACTGATGATTAGCAAATCACAGAGGCGCTTTAGGCTCTCTAAATGCAAGGACTGTATTTCACCAAAGATTCCTCTGAGGGAGGAGCCTATTTGCAGCCTCCCAGAAGAAGGGCAAATGTATACTTACTTACACACAGTACTCTGTTCAACCCAAAAGCCTTAAAAGTGAAAGTAAAAGAATACAATTAGTCCACTGGTGCAGAGGATTTCAACCAGCTTCAGGGAAACAGATAAACCAAAAAAGAAAAAAGAAAAAAAAGTGTGTGCAAGCATGAGACACAAGAAACAAACATAGAATAAGGAAAGAGGGGAGAAGGACAAAGGTGACATTGTGTATAGCAGACCCTCGGTGTGAAAGAGGAATCAACACAACAGGTCATGGGTGGTTACTGGTAAAACAACTGCTCCAGCTGGTTCCCCACACTGCCTACCGGAAACTTACATACACAAACAAGCTTGAGCACACAAGACCCATAGTGGCAGACACAGGTACAGAACCTCAGGGAAACACTGAGGACCATTTTCCTTAAGAAAAATGCCTAAAATAAGTCTCTAGAGACTCTAGTTAGCCTGCGCACACATAACCACTGCCCCCTCTTTTCTGGCATTTGGAGAGACCCCAGCCTAAAAATCATGAGCAAACTAAATCCTAAGTAAGAGGGGGAAAGGAAAAGAAATGTTGACCATCACTAGAAACATTTCCCTTTATGTGGAAAGGAAAAAGTACACATGACATGAGACCAAAATGGGAGAGGGGACAGTTTTAGCATACAATTAGAGCTTGCTGGCATGGGACTGACACCTGACAGCATGTGGGGCACTAGACGTGGCAAGCAGAAAGAAAACTGTTGCCTGGGAATTCCGTTCTCTCAAAGCATGGGCTGCAGGGGGCTCAGTGGTTAGGAGTACTGGCTTCACATCCACAGGACCTGGATTCAATTCCCAGGACCAACACAGTGGCTCACTACTGACTAGAACTCCAGTTCAAGGGGATGTGACACCCCCTTCTGGCCTTTGAGGACACCAGGCAAGCATATGGTATACATACATACATACACACACACAGGCAAAACACACACACATAAACTAAAATAAATTTGAAAAATAAAAATGTACTGTGCAGTTTTTCTGCCGTGAAGCTCCAGATGGACCTTACAACTAATACTGTGGGGAACATACTTCTGGTTCATGAGTAAGCAGGGAGACACGTAACTCATTCCAAAGGAGTTTGGTTTGCGTGAAAGAGAACTCTCTATTGCTCGGAAGGAAACAGAACACCTCATTTGAGAACACAGACCACCCACAATAAAATCCTAAAGCTATAGTAAATGCCATCTGGGATTAAGAAAGCGAGATTAATTCTGGCTAATGTCCAAAAGAGGCTCCAGGAATGAGAGGCCCTGGAGACTGAGGTAAAACTGGAATTGACAGGACAAACTAGCAAGTGAAAGAAGCTTTCAAGCTGGGCAGTGGTGGTGCACACCTTTAATCCCAGCGCTGGGAGGCAGAGGCAGGGGGATCTCGGTGAGTTTTAAGGTCTATAAAGCAAGTTCCAGGGGCTGGAGAGATGGCTCAGAGGTTAAGAGCACTGGCTGCTCTTCCGAAGGTCCTGAGTTCAATTCCCAGCATGTGGTTACAACTATCTATAATAAGGTTTGGTGCCCTCTTCTGGCATGCAGGTGTTACATGTAAGCAGAACACTGTACATAATAAATTAAAAAAAAAAAAAAAAAAAAAAAAAAGCAAGTTCCAGAACAGCCAGAGCTTCACAGAGGAAATCCTGTCTTGAAAAACCGAAAACCGAAACAAACAAAAAATGTTTTCAGCACACAAAGTGGAGGGAGGAGGGAAAGCACGGCTCATGTGGATAGAACACAAGACAAAGGGAGACCTCCAGAATTTAAAAGGAAAATCTTACTGGCTGTATGACTGGGAACACACTTTAATGAAAGTAAATATCCTAGACTGAAGTGTTCCTCAGCCCAGCGCCCAAACACTTAGTGTAATTTTCCCAAGATAATTCTCCCTTAAAAGGAGGGTGGAGGGGAGAGATCACAGGGACTTTTCAGATTCCCAGGGAAGGTGACTTTTTAAGTGTGGTACTGAGAAGAAATATTCCATTTGCTGTTTTAGTTTCTATCTGCTTTCTCAATCACCATTTTCATGGACTATACCTTGACTCTCACCAGGTAACAGACACACACACACACCATATAAAATCACACACACACACAACTCTCATCAGGTGAAACATACAGAAACTCACTAAAACACAGTAACAGTCATCTGGGCCTCTAGACAAAAACCCAGGGCCCTGAGCAGGGGACTGGCGCAGATCGCAGATCCACTGTCCTCTGCTCGTTCCCTTCTTTTCAGTTCCTTCCAGTAGTTCACTGTGGCCTCTATTTCTGGGTCACTGACCTCCCCCTCCTTCCTGGACCGCACAGTCCCGCCCTAACCACCTTCCCGACGAACCCCGGTGTCCCTTGCCTGCCTGGTCAGCAAGAGGTGCGAAAGGCGCCCGCGTCCCCACGCGCGGGAGCCAGGCCTGCCGCACCCGCGCCGGCCACCTCGGGGCGCGCGATCGCGCGGGACGCGTGCCCGGGGGGGGACCCTCGGCGCGCCTCCCTGCACCGCGACCCCGGGGAAAGCGACTTGCCATGGCGCGGAGGAGACGCTCGGGCCGCGCTAGGTCCTCCAGGCGGGTTCCGCTTTCGCTTTCCCGTTCCCGCCGCCCTGGCGACCGAGCGTGGAAGGGCGGCGCCCCGCTGGGTAGGGCTTCCCGCGCCTGTGCGGCTCGGCTCCCGCGCAGGGTGCCCCGCGGGAAGCTGGGCTTCTCCCGGAGAGCCTCTCGGTGCCCCCCTGCTCCGTGCACTCTGCGATCTCCCGCCCCGCCTTCCCGCCGGGGGCCACCGCAGAAGGCGCGAGCCTGCCCACCCAGCTCACCACCTGGCCCGGAGGCGATGGGCCTGAGCACCGAAAACCTAGCCCAGGCTACCGAGAGAAAGCAAAGAAATAGGAGGAAAGGCAAATGAGCGGCAGACCGTGAACACCTATGCAAAGAAACAGAAACTGAAATCGTGAGATGCCGGTTTTTAACCGGTTTGCCCAAATGAGGAGAGTGTAGGTGCCAACATTTGTAAGGACTTGGGCCTCTCTCAGAGACTCAGAACACAACCCCCCACAGTACGGCACCTGAGCGTGCCCTGTACTTGAAGCCAAGTCCCTCTGACCCCTTCCTGGGCTCTCCTCTCTCCTGCACCTTTGCTGTCCCTATCAGGCCAGTCATAGAAATCAGGATTCCTCTTCCCCGAAGTGGATCATGCAAAATTGACGCCTCTCGTCCCAAACAAGCCGAGAAACCCAGAATTGTCACTGCACTCCCCTCTCTGAGGGAAGAGCATTCCAGCTGGAAGGAATACTGCATAGAACAAAGAAGAATGCAGACAGACTGGGGTGGCTAATCTTGACGGTCAATTTTGATCCATCTGGAAATAGGACCCGCTGTTGGGGAACTACCTCTATACCGTAGGCCTTTTTTTTTTTTTTTTTTTTTTTTTTTTTTTTTTTTTTTTGAGCGAAGGTTTCTCTGTGTAGCCTTGGCTATCCTGGAACTCGCGCAGTAGACCAGGCGGGCCTTGAATTCACAGAGATCTGCCTGCCTCTGCTGGAATTAAAGGGGTACAATACCACTCTCAGGGCTGTGGCATTTTCTTGATTGCTAATTTATGCGGAAGAGCTGAGCCAACTGTGGGCGGTACCTTCTTTAGGCAGGTGGGCCTGGGCTGTATGAGAAAGGTCGCTGAAAGTGGGCCTGACAGGAAGTGGTCAGCAGCTAGGTTTATGCTTCAAGTTCCTGCGCTGGCTTCCAGCCACGCTGTGCTGTAAGCTGTAAACTACAATAGACGTTTTTCCTTCCCAGGTTGTTTCTGGTCATGACATTTATCCCAGCAGCAGAGAGCAAACCGGCACACAGGCCTTGCTGGGTACCTACCTCCACCAGTCTGTCGTCAGGAGAGCAGAACTTCCGTCCAGTCGCACTTGCCAAAGTTGTGCATTCTTTATCTAACCCGAGCATAAGAACTGTCTTCTTTGGGTGTTTCTTTCTGATGTCCTCTGTGACACATTCACTGCTGATAAAAAAAATTCGTTATGCTGTTCTGTTGCCTTTTTTTTTTTTTTTTTTTCAGTAGGTCTGGTAGCTGTGACCTTTACCATGGCTAAGGCAACGGTAACTCTTTCTCTCTCTAGCTTTAACAAAATGTAAAGTGCACAAGTATAAATGTGCGGTTATAGTTGGCCTTAGACTTAGGAGGACCGCTCTTGGAAGTTTACCTCCAATGCTAGTGCGTGAGTGGTCCTAAGAGGTCGTACAGAATTAGCATAAGCTGCTTGTAGTGAGGAGTCCGCTCAGCTTTGTTGGTAAACGGGCCTACTAAGTACTTGACGGTACTTCAAAGCTACGAAGACGTGAGGACAGAATGAGATAGATCTACCTGGAGCCATGCAGTTGCTGTATTTATAGTTTATTTCCAGATCTTTGGCCTCCAAAGTGCTGGGATCTCAAGCTTGATTCCTCCTCTCTTACACAATCCTTGCTCAGAGAATGGGACCGCCTGGGCTATTAGCACAGGGACCCACCCAGTCTCGACAGTCCTCGCTGAAACATCTTTTATAGGTGACTCTAGCTACGTATTGTCAAATTGATGGGGTCACCCCTGCTGGTCAGCAAAGAATGGCACTGGGAGACAAAGGCCTTGGGTTTTTAAAGGACAAGGCATGGGAATTTTTAGGGGTTGCAGTCTTGGCAATTAATGATTGGATGAGGAAGCTGTAAAGTAAGATAATTGGTTAGTCTTAGGTGCTCAAGCTTGGCCAGTCCTGCCAAGTGTGGACTCGGCTGCAATTAAAGGTGGGGGTAGGGTGATTAGCTCATCCTTGAAGATCGGGGCTGTGGGCTTTTGGCCGGAAGTCAGGGGCTTCTCAGAAGAAGGATTGAGGCCATCTGGGTTGGTTGCTAAGAAACGCTATCTTGCAGACAAAGGTCTGGTCATTCTTTTTGCTGAGTGAAGGTCGTTGCTTGCTCGATTTCTTATATCTGTCCTCACAGATGGCCAGGGTCACATTCCTCCATTCTCTTGAAAAGTACTTTAGCTTAACCTGGGCCTAAAACTCAAAAATATAGGTTGTAGAAGACATACAGGTTTCAAAGTTAGTCTGATCCTTTCAGGATCAGCCATTCAGAGCACTTAACAGAGGACCCTGGGTTCCATTCTTAGCATCCATATTGTGGCTCATAATCATCTACAACTCCAGTTCCAGGAATCTTATGCCCTCTTCTGGCTTCCTCAAGCACCAGGCACACACATAGTGTACATACACACACAGGCAAATTTTTATACACATTAAAGTAAAAATATGTAAGTTTATAATAGAATAAAATTAGATAAAGCATTTGAACATCCTTTCTGCAAAGAAGATATACGTGGTAGGTATATGTATATAGGTAGATGTATATGGTAGATAAATAGGTTCCTAAAGAAATGACATCATTTGACATTAGGAAAACACAAATCAAAATGACAATGAGGCAGTACACTATAACCTTTAGGACAGCAGCTATTTAAAAATGGAAAACAGTGGTAATGGTAAGGACGTGGAACACTTGAAACACTTGCTTATTGCTGGCAGGGATGTAAACAGTACACCTTCATGGTGTGGCCATATTCACAGTATTGGGATCAGAGGACCCAGCAATTCCAATTCTCCACATACGCCTAAAACTGAAGGCAGTGCCTTTATGTCCTATTTTTGCACCCACGTTTCATAACATTTTCATCACAGCCAAACGGTAGAAGCAGCTCAGATGTCTACCAACAGAGAAGTGGGCAAGCCAAATGAGGTGTGTGTGTGTGTGTGTGTGTGTGTGTGTGTGTGTGTGTGTGTATGTGTGTGTGTGTATGTGTGTGCTGCGTACAAGAACATCGGTGCTGACCGATAACCCTTTTTTTCCTTCATCAGACCCTTGGACAGATTCTTCTTCCTCTCTCACTGCCACTGGACACAGATGTGTAATTCATCTGACCAATGAAATTCTAGGGGAAATGATGTCTCGTATCTGGGTAGAACTGTTTAGTTGCCAGCTGGGGCCTTAAGAAGCACATCCTGCCGTGAGGCTGCTCACTACACTAACATGTGGAAGACAGCTGTACTAGAGTGCTGCCTGGACCTGTAGCAAAACTCTTGTGAATGAGAAAACAAACTTAGATGTTTAAAGCCATTTAAGGTTTTTTTGTTTTGTTTTGTTTTTTTTAACAGCTTCACCTACTTCATTTTATCCTATTATATTTCACTCTAATAAAAAAAAATTAACTTTCAAACATCTACAAATAATGTTTCCGGTTCCAAAAATAGAGGAAGCACTTGCCTTGTGCCAGTCTCTAGATTCAATCCCCAACACCACAGTAAATAAATAAATAAATAGCAAATTAACAGACTAAAGTGTTTTGCCTACTCACACTCTCAATTCAGACCACCTTACATTGGGCACTGAAATACGTGGAGCTTTTATTATACAGCAAAATGATTTTGCCACAATTCCTCAATGGACACTTGAGTGCCTTTTAAATTCATTTGAATTCTGATGCAGTGATGGTATCAGATGCCACAGGTCAAGGGCTCAGTTAGACTACCCTTGCTTCCAATGCCAAGGGCAAGTTCCAGGCTGAGGCCTTCACCTCTGACTGATGGGTTATAAAGATGGTTTCCATGACCCTATTGGTTCAATAGGTTTATTAATCAGCTATCTAAAAGGCTGCAGCTGTACAACCAAGTGGACATTCAGTCTGGAGAAGGATCACGGAGCTTCCATGGCCTCTGCAGACAAACTGCCCTCTCGAACCCAGCACAACATCTGGAAGCTCCCTGAACAGGATTCTGAAGACTTTCCAAGGAAGACTCATTACATAACAACAAATAACAAAATCACTCACCTCCCTTCCTTAGAGGCTGAGGGGAGAGGCTGAAGGCTGAAGGCTCCAATCTCAAATCATATTTGCATATCTCTGCTTCTTGAGACTCTGTGGGGACCCTGAGCTGACCACTCACCCCATTCCTACCTCGCCATCACATCACTCCATATTTTAAATGTCTGGGAAGCTGTACATCAGAAAACAGGTTAAAGGATAAACACAAACGAATCTTAGAATATCACATAATGAATGTTTTTTTTTTTTTTGGGGGGGGGCCTTGGGTTTTTTTGTTGTTGTTGTTGCTATTGGGTTTTGTTTTGTTTTTTTGTTTGTTTGTTTATTTTTGTTTTTCTCTGTGTAGCCCCGCTGTCCTGGGACTCAGTCTGTAGATCAGGCTGGCCTCCAACTTAGAGATCTGCCTCCCTCTGCCTCTTACATACTAAGTAAGATTAAAGTCATGTGCTAACACACCAAACTGATAAGTAGTTTGCAATAATTTAAACAACCAAAAAATAACGCAACCAAATGTAAAGCTGTATAAAAATATATATTTCACCAAAGATGCATAAAATGCATGTGAAATGTGCATTAATTTTACTACTTGTCTGCAGCCTACTCTCAGAAACAGAAATGTTTGCATCTTTCCATAACATCAGAATTTACTAAATAACAATAAATGCACGAGCTATGTCAATTCTCATGTAATCTGCCAAGGACATCTGAATTCACCTGACAGTGTGGTCATCGGCAATCAGAATCTTAAATTCCAATCTTGGGGGCTAACATTAACTC